TTACTATGAGTACTTATTATGGAAATAATATACTTTGAAAGAATATACTTGAGTGTATGCACTGTTTTTTTTCAATTAAATGAAAATTATGTATTTTAGTTTACATTTATATTACATGCCAATTACCTGAACTTTAGTGTGCTTTTTTGATCCACTCAAATGTAATTTCATAAATATTTCTATTGTCTTGAAATATGGTTAAAGTGCACTGCTGAATGTTTTAATGTAATTTCTATTGAAACTTGTGTGTTATGCATTTAAATGTATTTGTAACTAATTACACGTTGTAATGATTTCAATGTGAAACATTTAAACTATGTTAACTTAAATGTAATATCGCGTGACGCATTACAGTTTAAAATTATAGTCAAAGTATTTTACATGTGCTTTAGTATGTTAGTCAACACATTCAAAAAAGTGTATGTTTAAAATATGACAAAAGTTTATTGTGACAATGATTTAAAATTTTTGGTATTATTACAAAGTGCAGTGTAAAAGTATCCTAAAAGGGTTAGTTCACCCTCAATTATCCCATGATTTACTCATCCTCAAGCTGTCCTATGTGTACAGTGGGGACAAAAAAAATTTTAGTCAAGCCACTATTGTGCAAGTTCTTCCTACTTAGAACGATGAGAGAGGTCTGTAATTTTTCCTCATAGGTACACTTTAACTATGTGAGACAAAAATGAAAAAAATCCAGGAAATCACATTGTAGGATTTTAAAAGAATTTATTTTGTAAATCATGGTGGAAAATAAGTATTTGTTCAATAACAAAAGTTCAACTCAATACTTTGTAACATGACCTTTGTTGCAATGACAGAGGTCAAACGTTTCCTGTAAGTCTTCACTAGGTTTGCACACACTAGCTGGTATTTTGGTCCATTCCTCCATGCAGTCTCTCGGATGATTCGGGGCTGTCGCTGGACAACACGGACTTTCAACTCCCTACACAAATTTTCAATGGGGTTGAGGTCTGGAGACTGGCTAGGTCACTCCAGGACCTTGAAATGCCTTATTTACGGAGCCACTCCTTCGTTGCCCCCGGGTCGGTGTGTGTTTGGGATCATTGTCATTCTGGAAGATCCAGCCACGTTTCATCTTCAAGGCTCTCACTGATAGAAGGAGTTTTGGCTTTAAATCTCACGATTTTATGGCCCCGTTCACTCTTCCCTCAACCACGGATCAGTTTTCCTGTCCCCTTTGCAGAAAAACAGCCCCAAAGCATGATGTTTCCTCCCCATGCTTCACAGTAGGTACGGTGTTCTTGGGATGCAACTCTGTATTATTCTTCCTCCAAAACACGACGTGTTGAGTTTTTACCAAAAAGTTCTATTTTGTTTTCATCTGACCACATGAAATTCTCCCAATCCTCTTTTGGATCATCCATATGCTCTCTGGCAACCTTCAGACGGGCCTGGACGTGTACTGGCTTAAACAGGGGGACACTGCAGTATTAGAGTCCCTCTCGGTGTAGTGTGTTACTTATGGTAGCCTATGTTACTTTGGTCCCAGCTCTCTGCAGGTCATTCATCAGGTCCCTCCATGTAGTTCAGGGATTTTTGCTCACCGTTCTCATGATCATTTAGACCCCACGGGATGAGATCTTGCGTGGAGTCCCAGATCGAGGGAGATTATTAGTGGTCTTGTTTTTCTTCCATTTTCTTATAATTGCTCCCACAGTTGATTTTTTTTCCACACCAAGCTTCACTCTTCCCAACCTGGTGTAGGTCTACAATTTTCTTCCTGGTGTCCTTCGACAGCTCTTTGGTGTTGGCCGTGGTTGAGTTTGGAGTGTGACTGTTTGAGGCTGTGGACAGGTGTCTTTTATACAGATAACGGGTTCAAACAGGTGCCAATAATACAGGTAACGAGTGGAGGACAGAAGAGCTTCTTAAAGGAGAAGTTACAAGGCCTGTGAGAGCCAGAAATCTTGCTGGTTTGTGGGTGACCAAATACTTATTTTCCACCATAATTTACAAATAAATTCTTTAAAAATCCTACAATGTGATTTCCTGGATTTTTTTTCCTCATTTTGTCTCTCATAGTTGAAGTGTACCTATGATGAAAATTACAGACCTCTCTCATTATTCTAAGTAGGAGAACTTGCACAATCAGTGGCTGATTAAATACTTTTTGGCCCCAATGTATATGACTTTCTTCTTTCAGCCAAACACAATCAGAGATGTATTTATAAATGTCCTGGCTCTTCCAATATAATTTGAGTGAATGGTATCTTCAATTTTGAAGCCCAAAAAACCTCATCTATCCATCATAAAAATAAAAGTAATCCATGTGGTTCCAGGGAGTTTATAAATGCCTTCTGAAGTGAAGCGATGCATTTTAGTAAGAAAAATATTCATATTTATAACTTTATAAACTATAATCCCTGCATTTCAGTAACGGCCATACATGAGCCTAGTTCCGGTGGAAGGGTGACCTCTCACCCGACACTTGATGTAGGAGTAGCATAAGCTCAGGTGAGAGTAGACGGCTCTCATTTACATTTGCATTTGGCAGACGTTTTTATCCAAAGTGACTTACATTGCATTTCAAGGTACACATTTACATTCTTATCAGTTCTTATCAGCCTCTCGCGGTTCAAACAAATTGAGTTGGACAACAAACTCAAGCTCCTCTGACATTTTACTTTAAAATTCTAGTTTTAGACTTCTAATTTGTGACCGGTGTTTTGTTTTTGCTCTATCCTCTGCAGTTCCGCGTTCATCAATACGTCATGCGTCGGGTCAAGGGTCACTCTTCCGTCGAAACTAGACTCGTGCAAGGCCGTTAACGGAAACCAGTTAAAAGTACTAATATTTTTCTTAGAAAATAGCATGTCCTCGCTTCAGAGGGCCTTTATTAAGCTAGAGTCGTGTGGATTAGTTTTATGATGGATGGATGCACTTTTTTGGGCTTCAAAATCTCAAGTTCTATTCACTCCCATTATAAAGCTTGGAAGAACCAGGACATTTTTGAATTTTACAACTCTGATTGTGTTTGGCTGAAAGAAGAAAGTCATATTCATCTTGGATGGCTTGAGGATGAATTGAGGATGCGTTTTCGTTTAAAAACGGAGACCTTTTGCTACGTTTGCACCTCCCGTCCACACTAAAACGGGAAAAACGAAGACCTAAAACTGAGAAGTTTAGAAACGCTGCAGCTCCGTTTTGCGTTTTGAATCTCCACAGGGCGTTTTAGTGTAGACGAGACAAAACAGAGGACTTCAGAAACGCTGACGCAGAGGCTGACGCTCGGCTCAATGATTGGGTCTATGTTATCAGTCATGACGTATCCTTCCCTGATTCGTCAACCACTGTTTACACCGTCACGCACATGCCCAGTGTTGGTGAATGGTCACGTGATCCGGTCACGTGAAACGATTTTCAGTCGTTTTAATATGGACGGAGATCATTTCTAATATGCAGATAAAACGCTGGTGTGGACGGAGATCATATTCGTTTTAATTGTTCGTTTTTAAACGAAAACGCAGTGGTATGGACGGGGCCTAAATCATTTTTACTTTTGGGTGAACTAACACTTTAAGTCATGAAAGTTTTCAGTTATTTCATTAACTGTATCTGCAAGTTACTTTATCTACAGTTTTTTGTAATACAAACTTTTAAAGGAGCCATATGCAATATTGTGGCCAAAACTGCTACTGCAATCACTTTTAAATTACCGTAGAGTGGTGTATTTTATGTTTATGATTATTTGAAATAAATTTCTTGCATACAGCTCCTTTAAGTAGCCCATTACACATTCAATACAATTAAGGACTTCTGTTTCACCAGGGGACACTTCCTAAAAATGATTATGTCTAAAATCAGTGTGATTGGGACTAATGTCTCTGTTTGACACAAGGTGGCTTCTCTATGGGTGGTGCCATGGCACTACATCTGGTGTCCCGGTACCAGCCGGATGTTGCTGGCATCTTCGCTCTGTCCAGCTTTCTTAACAAAGACTCGGTTGTATATCAGGTAGTAAATAAAATATTCTTCAGAATGCATGTTGCATATCATGATGTCAAACGCTAGAAATGATCTATATTAACTTATGCACAGGCAGTAGAAAATGCAACACAGCGCCCCCTACCTGAGCTCCTCCAGTGTCACGGCACAGCGGATGAGCTGGTTTTCCATAGCTGGGGCAAGGAGACAAACTCACTGTTGGAGAAAGCTGGCCTCAACACGTCTTTCCATTCCTTCCCAGACCTCAACCATCAGTTGTGTCGACAAGAACTGGAGTTACTTCGGTCCTGGATCCTTAAGAAACTTTCCCCTTAGAGCATCCTTAATGCTGGACAATGAACTTGCCCATATACAACCTAGAATAATCATCGTCCTAATAGTTTTTTTTGTTTGTTTTTTTGTTCATATTTAAATATAAAACTTGAGTCAAACAGTAAAGGAAAACCAAGCAAGTGTGCATCATACACTACTGTTCAAACGTTTGGGGTCGGTAAGATTATTAAATGTTTTTGAAAGAATTCTCTTCTGCTGACCAAGGCTGCGTTTATTTAATTAAAAATACAGTAAAAACCCAACAAGTTAAATGTGAACTCACGATAGCACACAAATGATGCATTTACAAGTACAGTGATTCCTTTCCCATCTAAGAAGTTTAGTTCCATAATCCTAAATGAAATGTTAGAGTTTCACATTTCCATAGTCTTTCATTTTGAGACCCTGGCTCTGTTATATGAGACCAGGTAAATAGTTCCTTCTGGAAAAAAAATACACTTTAGCATATTTTACTAAGAATACTTATTATGGAAATAATATACTTTGAAAGAATATATGATGTGAAAAATTTAAATTTAAAATAACTGAATCTTCAGCATCATTCCTTCAGTCTTCATGATGTGACACATGATCCTTTAGAAATCACTCTAATATGATGATTTGCTTCTCTAGAAACATTTCTTCTTATTATCAATGTTAAAAACAGTTAGACTGCTGCTTCATATTTCTTAGGAAACTGATGTATTTTATTATTCAGGATTCTTTGATGAATAGAAAGTTCTAAAGAACAGCATTTATTTGAAATAGAAATGTTTTGTAACAATATAAATGTCTACTTTCACTGCAATTTGATGCATCGTTGCTGAATAAAAGTATTATTTTTTTCAAAAGAAAAAAAAAAACTCAAACTGGTCTTCATATGTACTGTACAATGTATATTTTTTAAGCTCCAAAATGGAAAAAAGGGGTATAAAAGTTTGATGGTGAGTAAATTACATAATTAAAAAAAAACTTTAACACTTTGTGCTTGAACCCCTAATAAGAAGAGACCTTTTTGACGATTTTAGCGCCACCTATGGTCCTAACTCCATGAAACTTGGCATGCTTCCTGATCATGATAGGACACATATGCTCATCAATATTTGTGAAGTTCTGACTTTTCCTTTGGGATTTATTGGCTTTTGACTGAATTTTGCCACGGCCCACTTTCTAAATGACCCTGTTACAGCCAACCAAATGCAAAATTTCAACTTTTTTTTTAATAATTATTAATCTAGAGAGTCCAGAGAATAGGCCTAGACTGGTTTGGTTCCGATTGGGCGAAAAACCGGGGACTAGTTCCCAAAAGTAGGTTTTGGACAAAATTCGACGTAAAAACTTTTTGGGGGGGTCCAAATGGAAATTGGAGATATACGTACATCTTGTAACACTTTACTTGAAGGGGTGTGCATAAGACTAACATGACACCTTCATAATCATGACATGACATATGTTATGAATATGAAGGACGTTTTATTCATGTTTGTGACAACTGTCATTAAGTGTCATTCGCTTAATTATGCCATTTTTATTGCAAATATGACATTGTTTGAGATGTCTTTATGACACCTTGACATAAACCAATACATCAAAAGCTGCCAGTGTCGTTGTCATGACAACTTGACATTACTAAGACAACACAACCTGTCATAAACATGACATAGCAGATTAATTATCAAACTTAAGAAACCACTTAGCTTTATGGGTTAACATTACATTAAACTGTCAGGTGGTTGGTTTGACATTGGCTGTCATGAGGCTATTATAACTTTTTAATGACAAATTAAATTAGTACCACTGTAGTTGAGGTCACGAAAACATTCATAACACAGTTATAATGCCTCATGACAGCCAATGTCAAAACCAACCACATGACAGTTTAACTTAATTTAATATCAAGTTGCCATGACAAAGACACTGACAGGTTATGTGTATTGGTTTATGTCAAGGTGTTATAACAAACACATCTTACACAATGTCATATTTGCATTAAAAATCTCATTATTGAGCAAAAGACGCTTAATGGCAGTTGTTATAAACATACGTAAACCCTACTTCATATTCAAGACATATGTCATGTCATCATGGTTATGAAGGTGTCATGTCAGTCTTATGCACACCCCTTCAAGTAAAGTGTTACCAAAACTTTTAAAGCTTTTCCAGCTTTGGTCATTGCACCTGTACTACTGTGTGTATTGTGAAAAATCTGCAGTTTTTTCCCGTGCTTAATCAGAGCTAATATAGCTGTATAAACCTTGGATTCACCCGCATGTGTTCCACCTCACAAAGACTTGACTCTTTGTGCACATTTCATAGCCTGTAGCGCTAACCACTTTAAAGTGTTCAGTGAAGCACATTCTGCAGGGTGTGATGACTGTTCCATGGAGTCGGGTTTGGCCCGGAGCGCCTGTGGTCGGCTGAAGCGGCAGGTAGAACCATCACACCGGAGGGGAGGAATGCCACTCGGCTCTGTGGTTTGGATCCGGAATCCGGTCTGTTTGGCACCGTCCCGTTTCCTGTAGAGCGAGGTATCTCTCACTCCTGTTCTACCCCCTTTTTTCCCTCCTCACCATTATTGCTCGCCATGAATCTGCTGTACATGTGTTTGGAGGTTCGCTCGGTTTACTTGGTAGTCCCTAACAGTAGCTTCATTAATGGTTATTGGGAGGAAGTGGTTAGCAGGTCTAAAGTTCTGTAGATGTTCTTCTTGGGTTGTGTAGTGGGGCTACAGGCCAGTACTAACATGCACCATCTGGTCTTTGACTTACCGACAATGCTAAATGGCCCTAATTCATTCGAAGATACTGCAAATATCACATTTGCAATGGGCACATTTGAGTCAAGAGTTGCACTTCCAGTCAGGAGAACTCACTCTCATAATGACTATTTTCCATGTGCAAGAATAATAGTCATCAAAGGTATGAAATTACACAAATGGAAGCTTGGGAATAATATAGTGACCAAATTTCTTATTTTTGTCTAGTACCCAGCTCTGCTCTGTATGGAAGCTTGTTTCTGCCACTGAATAAAAAAAATATATATTCTGACTTTATATCACGCAATTCTGACTTTATATCTCGATATTCTGACTTTATATCACGCAATTCTGACTTTATATCTCGCAGTTCTGACTATATCACGCAATTCTGTCTTTATATATCGCAATTGTGACTTTATATCTCGCAATTCTGACTTTATATCTCGCAATTCTGTCTTTATATCTCGCAATTCTGACTATATCTCGATATTCTGACTTTATATCTCGCAATTCTGACTTTATATCACACAATTCTGACTTTATATCACGCAATTCTGACTTTATATATCGATATTCTGACTTTATATCACGCAATTCTGACTTTATATCTCGCAGTTCTGACTATATCACGCAATTCTGTCTTTATATCTCGCAATTCTGACTTTATATCTCGATATTCTGACTTTATATCTCGCAATTCTGTCTTTATATCTCGCAATTCTGACTATATCTCGATATTCTGACTTTATATCTCGCAATTCTGACTTTATATCACACAATTCTGACTTTATATCTCGCAATTCTGACTTTATATCTCGCAATTCTGACTTTATATCACACAATTCTGACTTTATATCTCGCAATTCTGACTTTATATCACGCAATTCTGACTTTATATCACGCAATTCTGTCTTTATATCTCGCAATTCTGACTATATCACGCAATTCTGACTATATCACGCAATTCTGACTTTATATCTCGCAATTCTGACTTTATATAGGCAAGGCAAGGCAAGTTTATTTATATAGCACATTTCATACACAATGGCAATTCAAAGTGCTTTACATAGAAGAAATTAAAATAATCAAAAGAAATCAGAATAATTAAAACAGTTTAGAATAAAAAAATAAGAAATAATGATCACACAATTCTGACTTTATATCTCGCAATTCTGACTTTATATCACGCAATTCTGTCTTTATATCACGCAATTCTGACTATATCACGCAATTCTGACTATATCACGCAATTCTGACTTTATATCTCGCAATTCTGACTTTATATCTCGATATTCTGACTTTATATCTCGCAGTTCTGACTATATCACGCAATTCTGACTTTATATCTCGATATTCTGACTTTATATCTCGATATTCTGACTTTATATCTCGATATTCTGACTTTATATCTCGCAATTCTGACTTTATATCACACAATTCTCACTTTATATCTCGCAATTCTGTCTTTATATCACGCAATTCTGACTATATCACGCAATTCTGACTTTATATCTCGCAATTCTGACTATATCTCGCAATTCTGTCTTTATATCACGCAATTCTGACTTTATCACGCAATTCTGACTATATCACGCAATTCTGACTTTATATCTCGCAATTCTGACTGTATATCTCGATATTCTGACTTTATATCTCGATATTCTGACTTTATATCTCGCAATTCTGTCTTTATATCACGCAATTCTGACTTTATCACGCAATTCTGACTATATCACGCAATTCTGACTTTATATCTCGCAATTCTGACTTTATATCTCGATATTCTGACTTTATATCTCGATATTCTGACTTTATATCTCGATATTCTGACTTTATATCTCGCAATTCTGACTTTATATCACACAATTCTCACTTTATATCTCGCAATTCTGTCTTTATATCACGCAATTCTGACTATATCACGCAATTCTGACTTTATATCTCGCAATTCTGATTATATCACGCAATTCTGACTTTATATCTCGCAATTCTGACTATATCACGCAATTCTGACTTTATATCTCGCAATTCTGACTTTATATCACGCAATTCTGACTTTATATCACAATTCTGACTTTATGTCTCGCAATTCTGACTTTATATCTCGCAATTCTGTCTTTATATCACACAATTCTGACTTTATATCTCGCAATTCTAACTATATCACGCAATTCTGACTTTATATCTCGCAATTCTGACTTTATATCACACAATTCTGACTTTATATCACAAAATTCTGACTTTATCACGCAATTCTGACTTTATATCTCTCAATTCTGACTTTATATCTCGCAATTCTGACTTTATATCACGCAATTCTGACTTTATATCTCGCAATTCTGACTTCATATCACACAATTCTGACTTTATATCACACAATTCTGACTTTATATCACGCAATTCTGACTTTATATCTCTCAATTCTGACTTTATATCTCGCAGTTCTGACTATATCACGCAATTCTGACTATATCTCGCAATTCTGACTTTATATCTCGCAATTCTGACTATATCACGCAATTCTGACTTTATATCTCGCAATTCTGACTATATCACGCAATTCTGACTTTATATCTCGCAATTCGTACTTTATATCTCGCAATTCGTACTTTATATCTCGCAATTCTGACTTTATATCACGCAATTCTGACTTTATATCTCGCAATTCTGACTTTATATCTCGCAATTCTGACTTT